TGATTGAGAGCAGCTGAGAGTTGGTTATAAGACAAGCAACTATTAGAGCTCTCTGGCTCTTTTCGATAATTACAGCTAAATTCATGCTCGCTTTGTTTTCTCATTTGCTGTGGTGGTGCAGTGGTTAGATTGCAGTGCTGCAGGCTACTTCTGCTGACTGCCAGCTGCCAGCAGTTTGGCAGTTCGAATCTCACCAGGCTAAAGGTTGACTCAGACTTCCATCCAGTGGTGGGATTCAAATAATTTAACAGAATTAAAGAAGCATCTGGGCGGGTGGCCGTCGCCACTACCGGTTTGCCCGATCTGGGCTGAACCAGCAGAAACCCACTTCTGGTATGTGGGTACATGCATTTTTTTTGGGGGGGGGTCATGTTTATGCAGTGTATATTGAAGGTGGTGACCCTTTGACAGCTGTATGCAACGAAATTTCATTTTAATGTATTCCAATTAGTATACATTTAAAGTGATAATAATTGTAAGCTAAGATCTAAGCTCAACAGCACCATTTGTTTACTCATCTCACTTGGAAGCCTACAAAACTCTGGCTGCCTTAATAAGTTGCAGAGAAATGCTGCATTCACAAAAAGCCCCAAACACTTCTCTTAAATTATTTTTGAAGCATGCACAATTCTTACTCTGTGATCTATAGAGGGAAATGTATAAATGGAAAATAATTGTCAGTTTTCCAACCTATACTGAAGGGAGTTTCAGTATTGTTTTAAATTGTTCTGCAGATGATGAGGTTTGATATTTTACAGGACTTCCTCTTTGGGGAACAATCAATTAATATAAAGAGCTACTGTTCTAGCTAACCTTACCACAGGAGGTCACTGCTTTCTATCTAAATCATCCTTATTGCAAACATTAACATTAAGTCATGACTTGCTTTTTGGATATCTAGTAGCCTTAGAACATCAGTGCTAGACAGATCTTAAAATATTTAGTAACTATTCTATTACTAGAACCTCTTCAGCTGCTACGTTTACAGAAGCAAAAAAGATATAGTATGCTTTGCTTTGTGATTATAAAAGGTAGCAACATATCAGCTATTCAGACAAGAGTTTTCTGTATCATTTTGCTGCCCTCCAGATGTTTATGGCTCAGACCTGGGAGCCCAGAGGTTTTAAAACTTTCTTCTAAGTTAGGAATGAAACCCTTCAACCTTAGGGAACAGAAAAACTATGCATCACTGGAAATTTTTTTTTTTTTTAAAGAAATGTTGTGGAAAGAATAATAATAATAATAATAATTTGAATAGTTTCTGCCATGTTTTGAATTGTAATGTTCTATTTGCAAGGCAAATGTTGTCACATAGCCATTCTGCTACTATAGCATTTATAGTAAAGATGGGTTTAAAAGACATTAGAACAAAATAGGTCAGATAGCTTGTTGTACTTGCATGTACCTGCATGTGAATGCTCTAACTTTCTGTATATGTGAGAACAGTTTGGTGTATTGGTTAAAGCACCAGGGTGGAAACTGGGAGATAGTGAGTTCTGGTCCCACCTTAAGCACGAATGATCTTGGGCCAGTCACTCTCTCTTAACCATAGGAAGCAGTCGAGAGCAAACCATTTCTGAAATATTGCAAAGAAAACTGTAGGGACTTGTCCAGGCAGTTACCATCAGTCAAGACTGATGTAAAGACCCCAAAATAGACAGACAGACAGGCAGGCAGACAGACATGTCCAAGAAGATCTACCCACAGGAAGGAAAACAATTGGCTATTTCTTTTCTGAAACAGAAAAGTGGAAGAGCAGGGCAGCAGGGGAATTGTCCAGCAAGAAGATGGTGGAAGCCCAGAGTTTCCACTAAACCTTTGTAAGCTGTTGCTGAAGTGTTTGGGTCTCGATAGCGTTTTCTTAGAATGGCTCAGTGTCAAGCCCAGCATGAGCAGGAACAACTTAAAACATTAAGTGCGGATAATGCCTTTGGGTTAAGCTGTTTAACCCCTCAAATCTCATAACTGCATTTGAGGTATATGAAAACCCATATGTACATTCACCTACCCAATAAAGAGAAAGCTGAGTAAATCAGGCCAAGGCAGGGACCATGGGGTGTGTAGAATCGAACTACGTGTGTAAATGATGAATTACTCATTTGATGTATATCCTGCCTTTCAGCCCTGTAAGCGGCCTGTTACTCCCTATAGAAGCAAGGAAACAACTAGTTTCTATGGAAACTAGTTGAAGTGCTACATACAGTGCAGGATATCACTTAATAATTTGATTATAATATTCTTATTACTATCTAGACTAGGAAGTTCTGCCAACACAAAGCCTGATTTTTCCTTAGGGAACAGCATATAGCATGATCCCAATATACGTATATGATTTTGCCCATCTCAGCATGATTTTGCCCGTCTTGTGCTATTATTGGGAGAGGGCATATTCCAGAGTCTTCCCCTGCGAGACGGAAGGGATCATTGTTGAGGAAGCAATTCTTCTCTGTAGACTTCTGTACATTATGGAGAACACTGTGTTCTACATTGGTCCTGGTTAGTTCATTTATGTCCCTTA